CTATTATTTTATTTGTTCTTTTGATTGCGGTAGTCGAATTTTCGACAACAATTTTTTTACACGGGTTGGATGGGTTGGCTGTGTAGACGGATTGGATTATGAGTTAATTCATGAAAATCGAATAAATCCGCACAACTCAACCAGCCACTTAAAAAAATAAAATAAAATACCTTGAAAAGTAAAAGAATGTGGCTCAAACACAACCCTTAATATATAAATAGGTTTCCATCATTTGTCTCTATAATCTGATGTGTATCGCTCAACGTGAGCAATTTTCATTTTCGAAGAATGTCGATGCATGTGTTCCAACAATTTTCTTTAAATCATTGAAGTCCAATTCATCTTCATGTTGTCACTTTAAAATATTTTGTTTTGATGTGATGAATCACTGAATTCAAGGAAAGGAGATAAGAAAAGAATCACAAATAACTTGACTCTAGCATATGTCGAATATTTTCTCAAGGAGTAATCTCGACAATTACTTGTGGTAACTCATGAGCTATAGCACTTGAGTTCGTTCAATTTATAGATGATCACTGAAGTTCAAATGAAGTTGAGAGTTAGTCTCCAAATTATTTTTCTAACCAATTTAGTCACTGAAGTTATCGCATGTTTCAAAATTTCTGTTAGACTATATTTATTTCTCGTACTCGTTTCAACTACACATTCACACAATAAAACATTTTTCACGTAAATTTAAAATTTTTTCATACTTTTTGGTTATACATTGAAGTTATCGCATGTTTCAAAATTTCTGTTAGACTATCTTTATTTATCGTACTCGTTTAAACCACACGTTCACACAATAAAATATTTTTCACGTAAATTCAAAATTTTTTCATACTTTTTGATTATACATTCTCTAAAAAAATCATAATTTTTTTCGATTTTTCTTTATAATGACCATCAAATGGGGCTTGGCCACTATGTTAACTATATTAGCGTCTCATCGACGTGATAGGCATTACATTGTCGTGAGCCAACTAGGCTGGAATGGCTAACTAGGGTGGAATATCTATAATATATTAAATATTATATCAAGTGAAAATCATTTTTTTAGGATTTCATTTTTACTATAATTAAATTATTTTAATAATACATTACTTTTCGTTTTTCAATATGTAATTAATTTATTTAACATGTTAGTTACCAACAATGTACATGCACATATGACAAATTCATTTCACCCGTGTGCTTTCATTAATGTATGGATTTCCTATTATTAATTCTCAAATAATTAACATTTATATTCATCTAATTAATGTTCATCTTCATTTATACATTTCAGTATTATTAATTCTAATTATAAATTAATTAGAATTTCGCATTCAATAATATATTTCATTATTCACGTTCATATATTCTAATTAACATCTAATTTTACTTCATTAAAAATTAAATAAACAATTTAATATTCATTGTTACATATTTGTGGTATTAGTTCTAAATATGGATGGCAACGGGACGGGGTAGGGTCACGACAACCTTCCCCGCCGTTACCAATTTAAGGCGAAGCAGTGAGAAGATTTTGCCCCTTTTACTACCAGTCTATTTTTTATTTCTTATCTTTTTTAAGTTTTTAGTAATTTATTTTATTGTTCACATTCATTATATCGAGACAATAATATATTTTTTTAATTTTTACTTATTTTTA